TCTTACAGCACCAGAGCTTAGTTTAATTCTCCAGGAAACACATAATGTAACCGTTAGTCCTGACACTGTTCGCAATAGATTAAGATAGGTCAACTTAAGAAGCAGACGCCCTTGGAGAGCTCAACCCTTAACGAGAGGAAATCGAGAGGTACGATATTTGTGGGCTCAAGATCATGTTCAGTGGTCGAATGAACAATGGGCCAATGTTCTCTTCACGGATGAGTCACGCTTTGGAATTCATCCGGATTCGAGAAGGCTTAGGGTATGGAGAGAACCGGGAAACCTTATTCGGTTGGATCATGTTCAGGAAGTGCACCCTTATCAAGGTGGAACAGTTATGGTCTGGGGAGGAGTCCAGTTAGGCCGAAAAACCGATCTCGTTTTTCTTGAAAGATTTCTAACAGGAATCACCTATCGTGATTTAATTCTTGAGCCTGTCGTGTTACCATATGCCAATGATTTTGGGAGAAACTTCATTCTCATGCATGACAATGCACGGCCTCATACAGCCAGAGTGGTAAGTGAGTTTATCAATGCTCATCAATTAAATATCTTACCCTGGCCGGCACAATCTGCTGACCTCAACCACATTGAGCACGTATGGGACGCCTCGTGAAACTCGTAGGGATCTTGTTCGGGCCGTGAATGCAGCGTGGCAGGCTGTACCTCAAAAAGAGATCGACAACCTGATCAGGAGCATGGAGAGACGATGTAGGGCTGTAATGAACAGTAGAGGAGGCCATACCCTTTATTAAGTAAAAATGGTTTTATCTTTTTTTTTTTAATTCACAGTTTAGAATAAAAAAAAAGTGTATATTTTTTTGAGTTCAATAATAATCAAGGTAAATTTGAAAAATTCGGTAAATTTCGCATTTTTATTTCCAATACGTCCTGTAAACTATTTGTTTATTTTAATTTTATTATATTAGAAATGCAAATAATAAAATTACTGACGATGGCTTGATGAAATTGTAATATCCCTAGACTTTTCCGGTGTGTGTATATAGTGTTGTTAATTGGATACCTTCTAGTAAACATTTTTTGGGATAAATAGTATATTGTTCTATTAGGAAGAAAAAACATAAGAGAGATTTTAATTGTTTAATGGTAAGTATAATGTCAAAATAATTATTTTTTGTTGTTGAAGAGTCTGATTTGATCTCAGTAATTTTTTTTTCATAACTTCATAATTAAGTTAGTTCATATGAAGTTATGAAAAAAAATTACTGAGATGAAATCATATTCTTCAACAAGAAATAATTATTTTAACATATATCTACCATTAAACAATTAGCATGACGGCAAATTACCAAATTATTCTCTAAGATTTGAAATGTAAGATTAGATGACAATATATCGGTAAGTATCATGAAAAAAGTAGTTCAGAATTCAATTCTACGTCTATTCAAAAATATACAAAGGCTAAAAAAAATTAAGAATTTGCTAGTTTTTAACCACAAGAAAATAAGTGGTAAAGTAATGATTAGAATTTATTATTTCTCAGTCTTAAGATACAAATTGGTCATTAGTTGAGCCCACGCGGTCAGATAACGTCAGTTTATTGTACTTTCACTTAAGGAAACGATGGAACAATAAATATATCTTTTTATTAATCCGTTAGTTTTTATTCCCTTGTTCAATCACCGAAAAGATATAACTATATTGGACTATTCTCCAGAAACATTAGTATATTGGTTTTACACATACCTATTTGTAATTGTAAGCTGCTTAAAGTAGATTCATTACAATTATATTTTTAGTTATATGCTATGATTGCATTAAAAACAAAACACCACTAATATACACCCAAACTCTACTTAAAACTCTCTTTTCGTAAAACAGGCTCTCACCTGTCAGTCAAACTGAAGCAATGTAACCAAAGATATTAGTATCTATGAGTGTAACTGATTCAGTGTTACTGAACGAATAATGAACGTGAGATCAGTATATTCATACTTTCAGTTAAACTGAAAGCTAGTTCAAAATGGCTCTCCAATAAGGGCGAGTCGAATTCGAAACGGAGTAAAACAAGCTGTTTGTGATGTTAACATATAAGTTATTATGTATGAAATATGATATTCAAATGTCTACCGCGGCTTCGTACAGTGGCACAGATCCCAGAGCTCCAGTTTTCAATAACTGCCGCATAGATTGGAACAATAAATATATTTTGAGCGTTGGCCTGGGTTATATTGAGCGTTGGAATTCAGCGTTGGCCTGGGTTATATTCAGAGGCACCATCGGTCGTTTGCCCGTTATTCGCATAGACTTGTGACTGTGCCTATGGCTTCAGAAAACCCCACAAGAATCCCAGTTTAAATCCCAGTTAGTCAGCAGGGCGCCGGCGCCAAATATGTCCTCGTACGAGCTCCCCGACAGGATTTAGATTCAGTTTTGCATTCAATACACAAGGCCTTATTCCATAGTTCTGTTTGAAAATCTCAATTTTGAAGAAAATGGACATAGAGTAGTTAATCTAAGAAGACGATATACGTATTTTTTTATGAAAATCAACTCCAAATACATTTAACATTTCTCATAGAATCGCCCTCATACATCTTTATCAATTCGTCTTATGTACAAACCTATTCAATGAAGAATGTTCACATGCCGCATTTATCAATAATGCCTTAAAGGAGAATACGTGGCTTTTGACCTCACGCCATTAGTGAAAATACGAGAAACACGTTTTCATATTAAAAAAAACTTCCTACACTCTACACGTTTGCTGCATCATCTATAGGATAGGGTTTAGCTGGAACATAAAATTCTATATAAACCTACTGTATGACTGAATAAAAACGACGTCACGTGGGCGTAGAAACAAATATCATTTCAGTTCGAGTATTTCTATGTCAAACTATAAGTTAGATTTTTCGGCATCTATACAAAATATTAATATGTTGATTGACCTCAAGTTAGATATACAGGGTGTCCCAGGCTGAGCGTGCATTAGAAGTTTCTAGAGTACTACAACATCTAGCACGGAGATTTTTGGCACATCATAGTTTCATAACGAGATCTATCGATTAAACATATTTTCAATATGGCGGCACTTCCGGAAATACCGGAAATTGACAGCAACTTTCTTATTTTAAATGGGTGCCCCCATTTTTATTACATACTTAGCTGTGCTTAGGTTCACTGTAAAATTTTATGAATTTTGATATTAAACACTCTATATCTAACACTGACCGTTTTTGAGAAAAAAATATTTAAATTTTTGAACGAGAAAAACTGCCTGTCAAGAATATGTATATAGCCTAAACGTCAAATTTAGTGATTACCATAGCCACTGTGCCATAAAGAGAAAACATGTGGCTATCTATTTCAAAAATTGTTCAAATATCATTAATATAGGCGCTAACTGTCATGGAATTGAGCGATTAAAAAATTATCATAAATCATTTTATTCAAATGGAAACCCACTTTTTTATTTCACTAATAAAAAGGTTTTTTAATGATCGAATAAAAACGGCATCAGTGATGGCTATGAAATGACGATCGATGACATTTCCCATATAATTTTACATATAAAATGACAGCGATCTTCATTTCATAGACATCGCTGATGCCGTGTTTATTCGATCATATGGTATTTAATATAGACTAGACCCAGAATAATTAATATGAATAATAATTAATGAAAAAAATTTAAACTCAATTTCATTGTTTAAAATTCATCAATCGAGTATTAGTAGTACAAGTTATAGAATTATAAATAATAATAAGCTGTTACTAATGACATGAGGTGATGATAATTCGGTAGTTTTTACTTTATTTGAGATTATTCTAATTAATAACAAACTCGAAATAAAATTGTTGGACAATTTTGTTCAAGACGGTATTCACTGTGCTCAAATAACAGGAGCATATACATATAAATCAAATACGTTTAAATAAAATATACGACGGCCTCCCCATAAGAGCAATGAGAGGATTTACGTCCCAGTATTGAAGGGGGACAGAAAATCGAGTCGAATGTTCAAGACATAAGTTCATCCTTGTTTAGTCAAACCTCCTACAAACCAAGGATAGACTTATGTAGGAAATGCATTGAAATTCTATAGCCATCCTTCAATATCGGGACAGGAATTTAAGCGGTACCCTCCGTATACTTTATTTTAAACGTATTTGATATAAATCGTCCCATTTCTGCCAAAAGTCACTAACTTACTTTTTATTACTTCCGAGAAAAATGCGTCTAAAGATGAATTGCATTGCATAAAGATGTTATAGTTAGTAACTATTGACTATTAAAATAAAACATAAATAGCCAGAAACCGTAGTTAATGACTTTTGTAATCGATTCTCCGCTTCAAAACATAGTTAGTGATTGAATTTGGTTGTTCGGAAAAATGTTAGTTAGTGACTTTTGGCAGCAATAGGACGAAATAACATTTTTTTGACTAGTTCAATAGATCAAAGGGTAATTTTAGGTACTTTGAGTGTATCGAATAATAAAATTACTGTTAAATACTGTTATAATAAATAGCTGATCAACAAGATTTAGAATGTTTAGAAGATGAAAATAGTTTAAATATATATGTATATATGGAAATGGAGTGGAATATATCGTCCTATTGCTGCTAAAAGTCACTAACTAACATTTTACAGAATAACCAAATTATTCAGAAATTCAATCACTTAACTATATTTTGAAGCCGAGAATCGATAGAAAAAGCCATTAACTACGATTTCTGGCTATTTATGCTGTATTTTAATACCGAATAGTTACTAACAACAACTTTATGCAATGCAATTCATTTTTAGACGCGTTTTTCTCGGAAGTAATAAAAAGTAAGTTAGTGACTTTTGGCAGCAATGGGACGATATGAAAGTAAATCTAGAAAATTTGTGAGGAACTTTAACTGTTGTATAGGAAAGAACTGTGATATTTTTATATTCAGAGGCAAATAAAATATTTGCAAAGAATTTTATATATTATTTATTAATCCTAAAATATCTATAACTAAATATACATGTATTCTTAAAAATAAACATTTTAGTAAAATGCTTTCAATTATAAAATGGATTGTATGTTATCCAATGAGCTCTATCTTGTTCCTTTTCTGACTTATGTGTAGTGAATAAGGACTTGTAGACATCTGTAGCTTTCTTATCATTTGCTATGCTATAACTAGAAGCCATCTTCTTTATTTCTTCAGGTTTTATTGCTTTCCCTGACGCTATGACATTACCAATTTTGGATAACGACATAGAATTAGAAGGTCCTGTTTTTAGCCTCTTAGAAAGATCATCAGCCTTTGACGTAACTGATCTCTTTGTTCCTTTTATGGTCTTATCTTTACATTCTGCTAAGCCTGAAGTACTTGGTTCAACTTTAATTTTTTTCTTTTCTTTATTTTTTTTGTTTTTTGCTTGTCTAACTTCCATTCTTTGTTTCATTAAAATCATGTCTTCATCTGTTGTCCCGTTCATAATAACAATATCATCATCTTCAAACGGCTTATTACACTTGTTGCAATTTTTTGTTCCTATTTCCTTATAAGCTCTTTCAGAAAACACACATCCGCAGCCCCATACGGCAACAAATCGAAATTTTCCATCCATTTCCAAGCCCAAAACGGGACAGATGTATGGCGAGGCACGATGATCAACCGAACCTTCTTTTTTGTCATCTTCATTTTTATATTCAGGATTTTTTGTAAGGTTTACATCTTGAACGTCTTTCAAAGTTTTGATATGCCTGAATTCCTCTGGCAAACTTCTTCTATCCAGTAGAGCTTCGATTAGGGCCATTTTACTGTACAGTTTTCCCAGATGACACACAACAATTGGTTTCTGTAGAACTTGCTGAGTTATTGCGCAACACTTCCATAAAGCTGTTAATTCGGCGTCTTTATCTTTTTGTTCGGGCTTCTTTTTAACTCTCACCAATTCATCTCGTCGTGGTATGGTTCCACCGTCACAACCCATGACAGAATTTTACAAAAGTTGTATGTTTGTATTACAAAGGAACGAATAATTGTGAACTGAATCAAAAACAGTAACGCGTAATCGCCCGATAATCAACACTCAACCTAAACAGTTTAAAAACTAAAACATTAAAAATCAACAATTTCAGAAGTATACGACGACTGACGTTTGACAAATGGTCGACTACCGACTACGACAAACAGGGAGACGATCTCAGCATTTAAAGCTTGCGAACAATGGTTCACTAGGCGTGGCTTATATATGGCGGCATCAATATGGCGGCATTAGCAGGGCCGGATTACAGAAACTTCGTTGGAAAATTTTATTTTATACAATATAATGATCTCAACTTTTTTAGATAAAAAATTAGTTAACCAAGTTAACTACAAAACCTACATTTTTTTTTCATTTCGACACAGAAATATTCGGGAAAGTGAAAATACTGTGTAAAATGAGTGGAACTAGGATTGAAAATATTTTGGTAAAAATGAATTTTTAGTTGAATGTTGTTTAAAAAATTTACGTAGATATTGAATTAACTTATGGTGTATCTAAGACTAATAACGTTAACATATTTTAATTTTCTTTATCAATGCGGAAAATAAACATATACAGGGTGGTCCGAATTGTATTCCGGAAACTTCGGCAGCATATTCTGCAGATAAAAATAGCTAAAAAACTTCGTATAAATGTATGTCCTAAAATGCTTAGATTCGGAGATACAGGGTGTAGAAATTTCTTTTTTATTTCGATTTTTTCCAAATAATTTGTAGTAACGTCAATATTTAGATGAAAATTGGTGTCTGGGAGTTTTTTAACATGAGAAATTTGATTTTGATGTCAATATGACTCCTACTGGTAGAGGGCGCCATCTATATGTGTTTTAACTGTTTTGAAGCGCAATAACTTATTGTCCGTACCTGTATAAAACTACCGAGGGAAAAATATACATCTCTGTGATTTTTTACGTAAAAAATTTCTCTTTGTAAAAATCGCTACGAGCAATCGTTCTGAAGATATTTAGAATGGAAATAGTCAATACATGCCATTATTACCGAAAAATAAACACGTTGAGTAGATAGTTATTTCACTGAAATAATAAATTTGGGAAATTTTTATTTTTTGAAATTAATCATATTTTTTCTGCAAGAAATATGATGATAAAACAGCTTTTGTTGAACTTTTGGTACAAAAACATTTCAAATTTATGATCTCAGTCTAATAACTGTTTAGTCAACATGTTTAATTCATGTCAGTGATGACAGGTATTGATAATTTCGATTCCAAATATCTCGAAAACCATTACTCGTAGCGATTTTTACCAAGAGACCTTTTTTACGGAAAAAGCGTCGTAAATGCATATTTTTTTACTCAGTAGTTTTATACAGGTACGGACGAAAAGTTATTACTCTTCAAACCAGTTAAAAATATGTAGGTGGCGCCCTCTACTAGTAGGAGTCATATTGACATCAAAATCAAATTTATCATGTCAAAAAACTCCCAGACACCAATTTTAATCCAAATATTGACGTTACTGCAGAATTTATTTGGAAAAAATCGAAATAAAAATGAAATTTCTACACCCTGTATCTCCGAAACTAAGCATTTTTGGACATACATCTATACGAACATTTTTACTTATTTTTATCTGCAGAATATGCTGCCGAAGTTTCCGGAATACAGTTCGGACCACCCTGTTGGGATCTGGTTAGGTTAATCATTAATATTTTGAATTTATTCATAATAATTGCTTTTAATTTAAGATTATAATAAGAACAAAAATGTTAAAAATAAATGATAGAAAGTCATTCAAATTATATTGTCTCAAAAATATAAATTACAGGATTAATTTTAATGCATGGCTATGTATTATTTAAGGAGGAAACAAAAAATAATACGCCTTAAATAAATTTAAGAAAATCGGGTTTAATTCCAGCTATCAATTTCCTGATGGCGGAAAAATAAAACACAAATAGTGTGGAAAATTCTACTGGGTTATTTATCCCACTGGAATTTTCCAACTTCCATTAATACAAATGGTTATTATGGTCTCTACCTAACCAGTACCCATATCTACATAGCCATAGGATTTTTCCTGACTAGGAACCCATTGTTAATGTTGTCTTATGGCCATTTCATCCATGACTAGACAACACATTATTTCGCTCTCTGAAGCAGTAGATTTTAATTTTAATGCTTCAAATGTCTCGCTAAATCGAGGCAATTCATTTATGGTTTGGTACCAACGACTTATTGTCCTCGTGTGAGGTAAACATGTATTAAAAGACCTTCTTCCTCCGAGGTATTCGATACAGCTTCCATAATGGGTAGGATTCCAGTAGGATCCTGTAATAACAGAAAACCTAATTTTTATCATGGGTAGGATTTCAGTAGGATCCTGTAATAACAGAAAACCTAATTTTTATCATGTTATTCGAAAATTCAAATTAACAACATAATTTCTAGATAAATTAACAAATACTTTTGTTCTTTAGAAATATAAATAGAGAATAAAACCTGGGATATGTATACAAACAGGTAAATAAAAGTCACCTTTTCATACAAAAGCAATTTGTATGGACAATTTGAAATTCCCCTGAAAATTAAAAAAAAATACGAAATTTGCATAATATAATACCTGTAATAAGGTAAATAGACAGGTAAAACTTAAAGAAAAACATTATAGGGTTATAAAAAAATAAAAAAAAGGTAAAAGAAAATTAAATAATCCTGAAGAGTAGATAATCCAGAACAATCGAAATTAAAAAAAAATTATTTGACTACAAAAAGACAATACAAAGGAAGTTTAAATTGCAAGTTCTAAAATGTTATTGGTTTGATATCAATATATACATATATAAAAACAAATTTTATTAAGTAGTGAACTACTTAGCTGCCTATTAGCTGAGTGCAAATAATAATAGATTACACCAAAAAAAGTAATCTGGCGTCGTTAATGTTATTATAAGATGGTTGACAATAAATATTTTATTACTTATTGTTATATTGAATAATGTGAAATAAAAGATGTAAACTATAGGTATAATAAAAAAATACATTCTTTATTTACATTTTTATTAAGTATGGGAATAGCATGGGACTTTTAGTTCAGTCAATGGGGATCAAAAAAGGGGCCTGCCTGGAAAAAAGTCCGGAAGTTTTGAAACTTTGCAGGTTTATAGGTTTTGGGGTCCCTAACTAAAATCCATAAAATGCACATTTCCAGACTTGCCGCCGGCGCCGCCATCTTTGCAGGATGGCGCCCAAAATCGGTATTTTGTGAATATCTCGAAAACTGCGTTTTTCGCGAAAATTTGAGGAGAGCAAAATTAAAGAGAATAGAATTTCCTATAAAAAAGGTTGTGAAAATTTTCGCTAGAGTCAACCGTTTAGGCACAAAATTCCTGAAAATTTTACAATTTTGCGTAAAATATGATATATTATGTATAGTCGATTTTCCGAAATCAAATGTCGATTAGGGTTCACTAAAACTAGTTTTAGTTTAGTTTTTTCAATTTTGTCATCATTAATTCGTTCATTAATTTATGAATAATTAATTGTCGTGCTGGACAGCATTCATTGCGAACTTACCACCAGGTTCAGCATTGGTCTGGTTGTACCAAAGATGCCGAAGAATGGGGTTGGAAGAAAACAAAAACAGGCATTACTCCAGTCACAACGTTGAAAGATCCAGCTCCAAAATCCCTGTTGGCATTTTTATCCTGTAAATGCAAAACCAACAACTATGGTAAAGCCTGCGGATGCAGAAAAGCAGGATTAAAATGTTCAATGATTTGTGCATACTGCAATTGAAAATCCTGTGACAACGTCACTGAAGTGTCACTCGACGAATCCGATGAAGAGCAGTTGGACTTGCCTGTAGATATCCCTCTGGCGGCTGAAGATGAAGAGTTGGACGTATTGGACGAGAGACCACCCTGATGAGCCCAGCACAGCAGACACGATCGACTTTGACATCAATGAGCCAGATCCGTCGGGCTTGTGCAAAATTAAAATTAATTATTCATAAATTAATGAGCGAATTAATGATACGCCACTGTTTTATGACAAAATTGAAGAAACTAAACTAAAACTAGTTTTAGTGAACCCTAATCGACATTTGATTTCGGAAAATCGACTATACATATCATATTTTACGCAAAATTGTAAAAATTTCAGGGATTTTGTGCCTAAACGGTTGACTTTAGCGAAAATTTTCATGAAATCTTTTTTATAGGAAACTTTATTCTCTTTAATTTTGCTCTCCTTAAATTTTTGCGAAAAACGCATAGTTTTAGAGATATTCACAAAATACCGATTTTGGGCGCCATCTTGGCAAGATGGCGGCGCCGGCGGCAAGTCTGGAAATGTGCATTTTATGGATTTTAGTTAGTGACCCCAAAACCTATAAACCTGCAAAGTTGCAAAACTTCCGGACTTTTTTCCAAGCAAAAATCCCCAATGACTGAACTATTTAGTCTGACAACAAATAGAGATATTCTATCAAAACAGCTATCAGAAAAGTGTTTCGAGCATATCAACACTACCAGATGTAGCTTGCCAGTTTCACAGACACCCAAACTTCTCGACGGATGGGATTTTTGAATAATATATATATAATATATTAATATACCGTATGATCGAAAAAAAAACAGCGTCCAGTTTGTTATTAAAGAATTTTATATATGTTACGGCTAAAATGGATACTTGGCTAGTTTTAAAACTAGCCAGCTATGCAAACTAACTAAAAGCGCTGTTATTTTGAAGGAATTTAAAAGTTAAATCTAAAAGTAAAATGTCACTGACCAGCTGGTTTATATTTTGATTCTAACGTAGTAGTATTTTACATAAAATAACTTTTTTATTTTTTAAATATCTGTTTGAGTGGCAAAATTCTCCTCTTTTGTTTTAGAAATTCATAACACTTTGATGTTTCTTTGATCTCTAGACTCTAGACATCGTAGAAAAAAAACGCATGACGTTTTAAGAGATAAATTCTAAGAAAGTAAAGCTAAAAGCTGAAATAAAAATATCACACCCAAATGGGAATAAATACTTATATATATACTAGTTTTATATAGTGCATTGTTTTAGATATATCTTAATAAAATTCGATAAACATAAAATTACGCCTACGTATATAATAAATGCCACTTTCTTTGTATATAAAATCT